AATGAATTTTTAAAATTTTGATCCGAATTACCCCATGCGACTGTATTGTAAATTATTATGAATTGATAACTGTATGTCATTCATGAATAATCATAATGTAAAATAATATTAATTATTGTAAGTAATATAAAAAATTGTAAACCTTGAAAAATAAATCATGTGAGTGTCATGTTTTATCTTTATTGAGCATGCTCATGATTTGTTCGATCGAATCGTATGAGAATACTGGTGAAAATGTATTTCATATATATATATGTTTTTAAACATACATTGCCAATCAAAGACATTCTAATGATGTTGATATCAATTTGACGAACGATAATTGACGATGATGTGCACATTCGAATGTAATTGATTTGATTAATCATCACATGATTAATTGAAATGATGAGACACGAATTAATTTCATCATTTTTCATGTGTATGGATGTGAATACTTGTCCTTTGTTCATATACAGTCCTTCATGGACCATACATATTCTTTTCTTTCTTTTTTTTGGATCAGAAGAAATTTCTATTCATCATCATCATCGAAAAAACAAAAGCAGGGCGGGGGTGTGGGTGTGAATGAAGAACATAGACACACCCACCAACTTGTGTTGCTTTGTTTTTTTTTGACGAATTTCCTTATATTTTTTGTTCCTAATACAAACAATTGAATGTCAATTATTATTAGTATAAAATGAGTTTTACTTATTTAGAACTCGACAACAAGATTTCTATGATCAATCATTCATCATCATACAATGATTCATATTATTGGCATGAAAATAATTCAAATTCATACGATATTTATGGTTCAATACTGGTGGAAATTCTTCAATTTCAACATCCATCTCATACACTTTTACAACAAAATAGTTTCACTCAACAAGTTTATCTTAAATATAAACAACAATGTCTTGATGGTAAAAAAGAAACGTTGATTGTAGAGAAAAAAAAGTTTATTAGTTCAGTACATATTTACAATATTTCCAGAGAAACAAACTACTGGTAAGAAAAATTGAAATTATGTTATATTGAACGTAAAAGAAACGAGTCTCTTAATGACTAAAGAACAGTCAACATATCTAAAAGCAACAGCGAAAACTACTCTCCGGTAAAAATCAGAGTCTAAAAATACTTATATGCTTATTTAAATAGCTAATTGAGAATATGTCTGTTGCTATAATTTTCAAAGAAAAAACAAAGATTTTACTCTTTTATGGAGGTTTTTTAATAAATACTATCATTCTTATCTGCATGATAAATTTGAAAAGCAATAAAATAATCGTCAATGATTAAAAACACTAAGTTTCACTAATCGCCACACTTTATTATTTTATAGAAAATATTTACAATCTAAAGTTATGTTGATTTACAAATAAAATACATTTTGTTTTCTGTAATGATCTAATTTCTAGAACGCGTTAAACTTGTTCCTGGTCAATCAATGGAAATGAATACAATCTATCGTTTTTAGTCATTTTTCTTATGTGAAAATTTTAATCGTCATATGTACAATGAATTTAAACAATATACTGTTGAAGACACTAAAACTGATCATCGGCATATAAATGAATTGTTTTTATGAAAAATAATAAGCAAGAAAATTGAATATTACTATTTATGTATAGATATTGTGTTGAATGTCTATTTCGATTTTATACATATGGTATAGTAAAACATTTTCGTCAACATGTATTTGAAGATTTTCAACATGAAACTCTTTGTAATCATGAAGCTGGTAATAAAATAGATTACACAAAAAAAAAAAAAGAAAAGTGTCAATAACAAAAATAATTTTTCTATTTAGATCAATTATATGGTTTCGAAAAATTCTGGGCATTTTTAAAATATTCTCGACAGAAACCAAAAATCAATCCAAAACTTGAAGAAATTTTAAAAACTATAAAAATCTTGAAGATTTTCGTGTTGATGGTGCATCATTTCCACAACAATTTTTTCCAACAAAATCAAATTATAGTAATTGAAAAACATTGTTTTTTTTTCTATTATATAAATAATTTCTTTATAGACTGTTCCAGCATCCGAAGCAATTCAAATTCATTGAAACCCAATGGTGAACAATATCTGAACAGTGCTAAACTTTATACACGTTTTGTTTTTCTTTTATTTTGTCTAAAATAAAAAACGGTGCTCACATTTTTTCAAGTGGATTTCGATTTATTTAAAAGTATGCATGTATTTTTTTTTTGCTTTCAAAGTTTATTGTTATTTAATCTTTTTCTATGTATATATTACATTGGTTTGTTATTGTAGTAGATAGATAGATTAAATAGTGATGCATTTTCTTTTTCTATCGATAGAGATATGAAGAATTTTCATATGGTTTCGTTTTGTTTCTGGAACTATTTGTTAACAAATTTATCTCGTTTATTTAATAATATTGGTAAGATATTGAGATAATATTTTATTTCGATAGAAGAATTTAGTGTTTTAGGAAGAATTGATATTGGTTTAGGTATTGGTGGTGGTGTGATTAATTCTATACTTTATAATGGTAAGTAATGAAAAGATTTTAAAAAAACTTGTTTTCTTTAAATTTAAATATATTCTAGTTGATGATGGTCATCAAGATGTTATTTTTGATCGTTTTCAAGGTGTTAAACTAGATGTTATTGAAGAAGGAACTCATTTTATGATTTCATGGCTTCATAGACCAATTATATTTGATATTCGTACACAACCACGATCTGTTTCATCAATAACAGGAATAAAAGGTATAAAAGCTAGAAGAAAACAGTCAACTTCAGGAGAGAGGTGAACAGGAGGAAAATGTATGCTCGCGAAAAAAAAGAAGGTAAATACGATGTCTATTGAAACATCAATGAATGTATATGGCTGAGGTATCTTAAAAAATTTTGCGGTCATCGATGGTGACTCAACTGATCGGTTTATACCTCTATACTCATCATTCACCAACCTTAGGATACTTCATAAAACTTAAAACCGGAAGTCTTCGTTATTTTTTCTTCGTATAAATGAAATATGCATAAATTACATTTTATTATTTTTATTTTAGATTCACAAACAATTAATATAACATTACGTATTCTTTATCGACCAAGAGCTGAACTTTCACCAAAATTTTTTTTGCAAATTTGAGTTTAGATTATGAAGAACATGTTTTATCATCGATTATTAATGAAGTTTGAAAATCTGTTGTACTAAGTCTCAATTTGATGCTATTGAATTGATTACACAACGTACACTTATTTCTCAACGTATTAGTGAATTATTAATAGAACGTGCTGCTCAATTTGGTTTATTACTTGATGATATTTCAATTGTAAGATACAACAAAAAAGAGTCTCGAGTTGATTATATTGTTTTTTTTCTTTAAATTAGACACATTTAAGTTTTAGATCTGAATTTACAAGTGCTGTTGAGTTAAAACAAGTTGCACAACAAGATGTTGAAAAACAACGATTTTTAGTCGAAAAAGTAAATCAATAAGAATAAAACTTATATGAGTGTGTTTTTTTTTATCAAGAAAAACAGACTGAACAAAGTCGTCAAGCAAATGTTATTGCAGTAGAAGATGATGCTCATGCAGCTGATTTGATTGGCAAAGCTTTAGATGAAGTTGGTGATAGTAAATTTTCGAATATCTTTTATTATCCTGTCTTACTTTGTTTTAATATTCATGTTAGGTTTGATCGAACTTCGACGAATTGAAACCGCTGAAGGTATTGCAAATCAATTATCAAAATCAAGAAATAGCATCTATTTACCCCATGGTCCTCAAATGTTACGTAACATTACTGGTGCTATGCAATAAAAATATTGTTTTTTGTTTTCATAGTAAACTAACGAGATTGATTTAGGAAAATAAAAAGAACATATAAGAGTTTTTTTTGTACGTGTGTGTGTATGTGCTTATAAACTATTGAGAATACTAAAGCATTGTATTGTCCTGTTTTTTGTTTGATTAAAGAAAAAGAAGATCAGATCAACAATTCTCTAGATGTTATTAAAGATTCGAGTACGATTGAAAAGATGAATTTCGATAATCTCTTTCGATGTTTTATATTAACTCAATCATTTGTACGTGATTGGAAAAATCTATTTCATTTACAAGAAATTTTTACTTATCGACGTGAAAAAATTGGTGTAAGAGATGAGTGTTTAGAACTTGTACCAGCTGAAAATGTACAGGAAAATACTGTTGAAATAATTAAACAAGAAACAAAAAGGTAATCAAAATTATATAAATGCTCGATTTCGTTCACCATTTGCCAATTATTTACCACATTTGGTAAGTAATTAAAATTATTTTAATCATTTAATTAATATTATCTTTTTTCTTTTGTTATATTTATTTAAATAGGCTCTATCTCAAATAGCTACAGCTCATTTTCAACTTGTTCTATCACGTGATCATCGTTTTGGTATTGATTCAATTCCAATAGGAATTTGTTATGCTGGAATAGGTGATCATGGTTTTAGTCGACCAAGGTTATTTACTGCAGTCCCATTAATTAATCAATATCCTGTAGGTTCAATTATTCTTGGAAATCCATATTATGGTTTAAGAAAACCCCCAGATCTACTTCATTGGTGTCAAAAAATGAAATTAACATCAGCTATTCTACATGGTTTTTCTCTTGGTGGACATATGGCTTCATTAGCATTTACAAAGTAAGATTCAATTCTATTATTTGATCTATTTAATGAATGAATATAGAGTATCTATCATAATTTCAAATAATGATTCAAGTAAAGCAAACCATATTACAAAAATAATATAAATTAAAAGCATTGATTATTTGATCCCCTAAGTTAGGATTTTTTTAGACAACCCCTAGACTTCTTTCAAAGCAAATCTATCCGGTAAGGTTTTTAGAGTGTATTGTTAATTGTTAGGTCTATATTCAAACCATTAATGAGAGGTCGAAAAACCTGCACAAGATTCACATGTTTACAATTTATTATTCGGCAGTTATAGATATACTAGTCGAAGCTATAACCAATTTTTCTGACAATTTTTGTAAAAAGCAAGTTTTTTTTTTACTATTTTCTTTTTGATAAGAAACCATATTTCCACACATTGAAAATTGATTAAATAAATTTGAGAGAAGATGCTAGAAATAAATCTAATAAACGGTTTGACGCGCATCGTCATCTCCTTGTTTCGAAACGAGCCAAAAGCACAGCTCTCTGCCTTGTTTATATGAAAACATTACTCAAAAAATCTCCACTAAATAGACATTACTATTACCGTTACATTTTAGAGAAAAACAAATCTTATCTTCTTTTTTATCATTAGAATAATGAGAGGCATGCTCTTTTTACTCAACTTTTATCTAAA